GATGGCTCCGCGCAGTCCCAACCTTCACAGCGCCCGGAGATACGTGAAACGGTTTGATTACACCTTTAGTGGAGTCGTCACTGATCTGTTATCTTCGCCTCCCTCTCCCACGTGAGAGCTCCCTCTGGTTTATTCGCGCGCCTTTTACCCCCGCCGGCATCGCGTGTGGGGACTGGTCTGCAGAGCAGCCTGTCACTTCGCTGCTCTCCCAGCAGTGCCCGGCTGCGCTCCCCAGAATGTTACCTCGTGAGCCAGGCTCACTCTCCCTGCCGCGCGTGCAGGTGTGTGTGCACCAGGGCGCCTGCGTGTGCGTGTGAGCGATCGTGCTCGTGGGTGAGTGTGCACGTGTGGGCGCGTCTGAGTGTGCATGTTGCTGGTGTGTGTGCGCGTGTGCTGGGTGAGCGTGGCTGTGCCCGTGTTTATGCTCGTGGTGTCCGCTTGCGAGTGCGAGTGGGCGTCTGAGCGCCACCGCCAGTGGGGCAGTGCGCGTGTGCTCGTCATCCCTGCGGAGGCTGGTGGTGGGCTTGCTTGAGAAGCAGTCCACGTGGGTGACCCGAGACCCTCGCTTGGCCCCTCCGTTTTCTTCCCCCTTTCCCTTCGGTGGCAGCTGGCTTCCTGGCTTCCGCAGGTCTCCTCCGTCTCCCCCCCCCCCCATTCCTTTAGGCAGTAACTGGCGGTTGTGTGCGGGCCGAGATCCCGGGCCCGCTGCTCTGCCTCCTGGCGCTGGGCTTTGCGGTGCACACTGGCCCCTCCTTGCACATCCCTCTGTGGTCAGCTTGGGGGTTGGCCACCTGCTGCTGAATGCTGGCGGCCACCATCCTATTGTCCTGCAGCACTTAGGTCGGAGGTCCGAGTGTGCCCCTCTGTGCCCCTCTTAGCTCCCCGGCAGGGGTGGTGTCCGTGGCCGTGAAGCAGGCAGAGCTGGGCTCACGTCCTGGCTCTCACTGCCTCTGTCTTCTTTTAATTTTTTTTTTTAACGATTGATTTATTTGCGCACACAGAACTGAGGTACAGGCCAGGGGTGCAGGAGTGGTGAGAGGATTCATCAGAGACAGAGTGGGGAGCAGAACAGGCAGACTGACCAGGGGACAGCGGGCGGTCAGGAGAGGTCTGCCGCGCCCTGTGGGTCACCTCCAGGGCAGGCAGGGATCAAACTCATGCGGAAGCAAGTGGCTTTACATTCTCAGTGCTGTGGCTTAACCCTCTGCACCCCCAGGGAGACCCCTCTCTGTCTTCTTAAGCCTCAGCCCCTCCTTTCTAGAAGGGGAGTAATCTAGCTCCTCCCACATGGCCAGTGGGGAGCTGGCGCCTGCACTCCCTGCGCACTGACCGCAGCTGCACTGCTGGAAACCCACGCGGGCAGGCTGGCCGCCGGCCCGCAACAGGGCTGCCACCCCCAGACCTGGGCCCCGGCCCCCTTGTTTCTGATAAGCAGTTCATGCATCCCTCGGGCTTCCTGGGCGTGTTGGAGAGCAGCGTCACGGAGGTGGACGGTCAGGGCCCACGGCCTCCTCTTCCGGAATCTTCCTGTCCTCTTAAGTTGGTGTGACTGCAGCCTGGCTGCATGGTGTGGCCGGAGCTGGGCTTTGTGGTCCTAGGCGGGAGCACAGGTGCGTGTCCCTCATTCTAGATGTGCGATCTTTAAAATGAAGAAATTGGGGTGCAAATGCCCCAGTGAACAAGAAAGCAGTTGCATCAAGGAGTCTCGGTGTCCACCAGTGGCCTGCCTGGGAGGGTGATAGTTTCCTGGGAGTGAGGGCCCAGCCAGAGCTTGGTGGCTGCAGGTTGTCCCTGCCGGTACCATCTCAGCACTGTGTACAGGGCCCGTTCACCCTCTGACCAGGCATTCAGTGAGCGTGAAATAGAGATGGTTCTGTGTTTATTTCTCATGTTAGAAACATCCCTGTTCCAGGCCCTGGGAGTGAAACAGCCAGCTCAGCTTTGGGGCTTGTAACAGAGGTGGGGGACGCACGTACCCAACAACCTGTGCAGCGAGCTTGCCCCCTGCAGGGGCTTGTCCTCAGGGAGGGGCTGGATTTGAGCCCACCTGAAATGTTAGGACTGGAAAAGGGGCCTGGGGGCTAGGCACAGGCCAAAGGACGGAGTGTAGGCAGGACAGGACAGCGGGCCTGGGTATTCAGGGAGATCTAGAACACCTGCAAGGTGCTGCGTAAATGTATGTCACACCCGTGTCTGCTGGGCCGAGTGACAAAGGCCTAGAAAGCCGGAACTGAGAGCCTGAGAGCAGTGGACAGAGACTCCAGAATGGTGGTGGTTTCCAGAGTGAGGGGGTGTGGTGGACGGGGGCAGAGGCAGGGCAGGCGGGGGAGGCCGGGGAGCGGTGGCAGAGGTGCCGTGGGCTGGGTGCCGAGGGCACGCGTGGCAGACGCACAGAGGTGGGGCAGCGGAGTGGCCCAGGAGGGAGGGCGAGGTGCTGAGGCGCCCCGCAGCACTGAGGCCTCGAGGCCTGCCCTCCCGCTTCGCAGACCCTCGGCTCCTCTATAAACTGAGTAGTTGACAGCGGCAGCTCGTTTCCAGTGCTTAAATTATTGCAAGTTCGTTTATGAATATTTCATTTTCAGCTAGCTAATTGGCCTTGCGTCTCTGAATTATGGATGCAAGGCTCGCCCTGTCACCGCCGTGCGCGGGCGCCCAGGCGCTGGGGCCTTTATTGCTTCCTCCTCGACAGCCAGACAGCACTCTGCTCCCACAGTGGCCTCGGGGCTTACGGCGCCTGCCGTTCTGCCACCAGCGAGGGGCTCGAGGAGGGTCAAATGTGACCCCCACCAGGACGCGGGCTTTGGGGGCCCCACCCTGTCAGGCCTGCAGCACAGGGAGATGACATGCATCTGCGTGCCATGTGCCGTCAGGTGCTCGGGCACAGCTCTGGAGGAAACCCGGGGTCCCCTGCTGCAGTTTGGTGAACCCCACAGCTTGGCAGAAGCTCTGCTCCTGAAAGGGACTCCCCCCCATATGTGCCTGCTTCCCCGAGTGGGCACAGTGCCCCCCCAGGCCGGCTCCCCCACCCGAGGCTCCCCTTGGTACCCCCTCCTGGGGTGCTCCCGGCGGGGGCCCAGGGCCCTGCAGCTCACGCTCTGTGTGGGGCCCGCACTTTGGTGGGAGCAGGGAGTGTGTGGAAGATGAAGTGACTTTTGGCCAGATGGCCAGTCCCCAAGGTGGGCAGGGACGGGGCGCTTCCTCCCCTGACCTCCAAACCTGCCAGCTCTAAATGGTTCTGCCATCCACCTCGTCAAGACAAACATGTAAGACAAGACAAACCATCAATGGAAAGAAACTTTAATACAATCAGTGTGCGATACAGAAAAAAACGAAGAATGTAGTCTCTAAGTGAAACACCCAAACCGACCCGTCCCCTCGTGGGTAAAAGTCCAGCCAGACGGGACGGGCCCAAAACAAGGCCCAAAAGCTGCCACAGTTTAAAGCACCTTCTGGCCAGGACCCACGAAAAGGGTCAGCAGTGGCCACACAAGTCTGGGGGAAAAGAGCAAATCAAAACCAAGATAAACGCGGCCACAGTCCCCTCCCGTGGTCCCTCGCCCACGTCTGTGCCCCCCAGTCCGGGCCGGGCAACGAGAGCTTCACCCGTCCCTGCTCCCTGCCCTCAGGTCTCCGTCTGGCTCTTCATCCTCTCCCTTCCTCT